TCAAAAAGCCAGGTTCTTGAGTTGCCAGGAACCTCCTTTTTAAGCACTTGAACCTACCCCAGCTCATTGCAGTTGGATCTGCACCCTTCCAAGCGGCTCAAAGGACAGATGGGGACACGAACGTCTGCCGAGGGCTGGTGATGTACTCAAGAAGCAGTTTGGGAATCAGCAAGGTCCATCCCAGCTGCAGGCACACGGGGTGTGTGAGAAGTCTGCCACGGGCAGGCTGGTGACCCTGAGAACCGTTCAAGTGGGAAAAGTAGTCAGGAGTGGAGAGGAGAGGGAAAAAGGGGCTGAGTGGCCCCAAAAAGAGAGACTGCCGTTGCTGCCCTCCACCTGTGCTTGTGAGTCCTCTCCTGGTGTTTAGTGCTGCCACCTGCAAAAGAGAATGAGAGAGTAAAAACTCTTTCTGGCCTGCAGCTGAGGAGACAGAGCAGACACTTGATGGAGCTCGAGTCGAATTTGTCAGATCTTTTGCTGCTGCAGAGCTGGGCTGCAGAGGCTGCGGTGAGGCTCTGCCTCGGGATCTCCTCTTGGAACTGCTCTAGTCTGTGCAAATGCCGGGTTTTGGGGCTCTGGCTGCTGACATAACCCTACACTGCTGGGGGTACCTCGAGCTAGCAGCCTGTAGAGAGCTGTATCTGCTGGACTGCCTGCCAGACAGGGGTTTCTGCACCACGCTCTGCAGCTGGTGTTGACCCCTCACTCCCTGGGATGATCCGTGGGCTGGGGAGACCGAGACAGCCCACCACAGAGCCCACGTTTCTGTCTGCATCCCTGTTGCAGTCCGAGGGCTCACGGCCACCAGGTGAAGCAAGCGCGGATGTGCTTCAGGGGTGGCAGCTGCATCCAAGCCGAGATGGTCCCAGCATCCTGGAGGATGCACTTCCCAACGGAACAGGGGCCGTTGGTACCTCTTTGTGCACTCAGGACCCACCACACATTCTGAAGCCGAGTCTCCATTAGTCTGTGCCTCCATCAGACAGGTGAGGGTATGTCAGCATCCACCTGAGTGTTGAGTTCACCCATGCCACATGCAAAGGAGGAGGATTTTATCGACTAAATATCTTTTTAAAATGCCTCCTGCTTGTTTAATCCCAATTTAACGGGAGATTACATAATCCCTTAATGATATCTAGTGTTTAATAATTGCTGTTCACAACATAACACTAAAAAAAGAACCCAAATTATGTCTGTCATTTTTATTTCTTTGCTACTTGTTCTCTTCCATTAAGCAATTTATTTATGGTCTGTCCACGATGGCTGTGTCATTGTTGCTCTTTTATCTTCTGATAAACCCCTTGAGCAACCAATTTTGTCTTCTGCTCCAGTTCTGCCACCACGTACCTTTTGTTTCTTCTTTCTGTGCATTTTATTTTATTCTTCCCCCCCCCCCCCCCCCC